AGTAGGGGGATGTGAGAGGAGTTGGAAGAGAGAGAAGAGGAGGGGAGGAAATGATGTTAATATAGTACTTATGCAGGAGATTTTCAAAAAACACACTATATATTATTTTAAACTATGTTGGGGGTGATAGTGATGTGTTTAGCAAAATACTATTTCCCTGAAAGGATGAGGGATTCATGTCAAAACACACTGTTGGTCCTCTCATTTCAGAGCTGTCAGATCTGCAAAGGCTGTTGAAAGAAGTGTCCTCTTTGCCAGTCTCATCTGGTTTGGCTATCAGATGCTAACAGCATGGAGCCCAAGTCAAACCACAGCTCTTAGGTTTTACTGACAATGTCCCAGAATACTCATCATGTGGACCATGAAAAAAATCTGCACAGTCCTTTTGGTTATAGATTTTTGGTGATATGGTTTCAAAATTTAGAGGAAATAGATACAAAACTATTTTTATTTCAAAGGTGAGTCCAGAGAATCTACAATGTTTCCTTATATAATATAGTTTGGTGTTTAATAATATTTGTTTTGCTTTGAGACAGGGTCTCTCTATAGCTCCTGCTGGCCTGGAACTCGCTATGTAGACCAGGCTGGCCTCAGTCTCACAGAAATCTACCTGTTTCTGCCTCTCAAGTGCTGGGATTAAAGGTGTGCCACCAAACCAGGCTTAATAATCAATATTTTTCATTTTTAGTGACTCTAAATGACATAAGATCAAATATTTAAAGAAACTTGTTTTCCTGCTTTATTATCAAAGCAGTTCCTTAAGTTAGGTTGGGCCTTTTTTTTTTTTTTGGTCTTTTTGAGACAGGGTCTCCCTGTAGCCCCAGCTGTCCTGGAACTCGCTATGCAGACCAGGCTGGCCTTGAACTCACAGATATCCGCCTGCCTCCCGAGTGCTGGGATTAAAGGCGTGGGCCACCATGCCCAGCTAGGCTATTTTTTTAATTCAATGTTTCTATTTCTCTAAGTCTTAAAAAAATTTTGGGTGCATGATGTATGCGTGTGTGTACACAAGTATGTACAGTTGCATGTTTGCCCAGGAGTTCAGGGGACAGGAAGGACTTCAGTGTCCTCTATCACTTTCCATTTTATTCCCTTGAGATAGGATCTCTCACCAAACCTGGAGTTCACTGGTTTTAGGCTAGGGTGCTGGCCGGCAAATCCCAGTGGTCCCCTTGTCTCTGTTCCAGCAGTGCTGGAGTTGCAGGCGAATAAGGCTATGCCCAGTTTTTTATGTGGGTGCTGAGGAACTCAGGTCATCATGCATGCTTGGCAAGCACTCTTACTCATACTCACTGAGGCAGCTTCATAATACAGGGTGGTGTTGGTAAATAGTGTCTAGGAACTATGACAACAGGCATCCAAACAGAAACACTCTTTCTGCATGGTTGTAAGGTAGCTTGGTGATACCATCATCTAGAAGCAAGCATCCTTTAGCTCCTACATCGTTAATTATATGAAATAGCTGAGGGTAAATGTGGAGAACATCTTTACTCCCCACCAGAGTTCTCCACCGAAATGAGAAATGTCACTAGTCTCATCAGTGAATGATAATGCAAAATAGCTGAGGTCCTTCGGAAAACTGCACCTTGGTCTTAAATCACTAGCTCATACTGTAGGGGTAACATGTATTTTTAAAAAAATCCCTTGACACTGTTGTGTTATTGTAAGATGTTATGATGGATACATATTATCAGTGCCGTCCAAATTTTCCAATTTATCAGAATCAATTTACTAGTTTCTGCGTCAAGCTCTTCCTTTGAATTCCAGGCTGGCCTCAAACTCAAGATCCTCCTTCTGAAGCCTCCTCCCCTGTGTTGGGATTTTAGGCATGTGCTACCATGCCTGGCTGAGTTACCTTTAAACAGTGCTGATTTTCAGGCCTGCCTTAAGTCTGTTTAATCTGTATTTGGGGGCAAGAGGTCAATGCAATCTGTATTATAAATAATCTCATGGTTTTAGATGCTGACATAGTTGACAGAGATATGGGAAACACGCCAGAGTGTCTTATAAAATTTATTTTCATTATCTAACTTTAGATTTATTTTTATCAACACCTAAAAATTGTAGAAATTTATGGGGTCTCATGTGATACCTCGATGACGTATAGATTGTCACAGTGTCCTTTAAAGAATCATGAAAGAAAGTTCTCTCCAGTCTAGTAGTGGGCCTACTTCTGGACAGTTTATTTTATTTCCTAGATGACATAATTTATATAACTTATTACATTGTTCTTTCTACATGGACCAAAGCATAGGACCAAACGTTCCTGCAAATATTCCAGCAGAAGCTCATTGTCTGAGAGTCACTCTCACTTCCCCCTTTTCCCCAAAATATTTTCCAATTTATTTTTAATTTGTATTTTGTTTTATTGCAGATTAAAAAAAATATTTCATTAAATTCTTTCTGGACCAAAATGTGACACAAATGAATAATTACTATGCAGATATTTGTATGGACCATGATGATTCTTTTTGAGTTGGGTTTGTAGTTCTATTTTTTTTAAAAAGATTATTATCTACAATAACCAAACTCAGAGAAAAATTTGGTATAGAATGATGGTTGTGGGGGCTGAAGGATGGGAAAATGGGGGCCGCTCTTCACTCAGTATAAAACTTCAGTCTTATATACATATTCTGAAGAGCTGCTAAATATGACTGTACCTACAGTTAATAATACTGTATTTTATTCTGAAGCATTTGCTAACAAAGCATTTGTTTAACATATTAAAAGGCCCTTAAACATTTTTGACACAACTGAAAAAAAAAAAACCCTAGTAATTTAGGATTATTTGGCAGAAATCCCAACATAAATCTGGTTAAAGGAGGTGCCATTACTGTCTGGTTAGTTACCTTATTGCCTTTTGGGGAGTATGGGTAGAATCAGGGTAAATATTACTTCATATTCACAAAGACAAAAGAACAGAACATCTTTGTTTTATTTAGAATGAAATAAGCATGGTAAAAAAAAATATATACCACTGATACATGTAAAAAAGAACTTGGTTCCTTAACAAAATGAGTCTTTAGGGCACAGAGATTTATCCCAACTGTGCCATATTTCCCCTATGTCCAGCTACAGCTGAAGACAAAGTTGGTCCATGTGCACATCATGAGAAAAAGAAGCAAAGAACTGACAGATGCAAGAAAATCATCTGTAATCTCAATATACATGCGATGGGGCAAGCTTGCTTTTGATCTAATCCTAGTATCTCTTGCTTACTAGGATGTAGATTCCAGGTTTGTTGGCAATACCACATTTATGACCTCCTCCAGAGACTATGGCATGGAAGACACCTCTGCAGATGTAGCCTCTTCCTCAGTGTAGGTTGTCTGTGTGTTTGTGTCTAGGATCATCTGTCCACGTGTCTGTGTCTTTTTCTATTTGTGTCTCTGTCTATGACTATAATTTTGTCTCTGTGGTCATTTTATGTCTCTGTTCTGTCTCCTTGTATGTCTATGTAGGTACACATTCCTTTGGTAATCAGTGACTTCTGAGCTTTGTTTGTCAAAGAGTAAGTAAGTATAATGTTTGAAATTACCCACTAAAATTTTCTAAATTGTGAATTTAATTTTGGTGATAGTGGACCTGAAATCAAGTTGTTATTGAGACTAGTAGAAAAAAAAATACACCACAGTAAATGTCTTGAAGGCAGAGAGTATGTCTTCTCTCTTAACTTTTTTTCACCCTCATATGTTTGAACATAGGGCATACCACACCAGAAGCACTTGCTGAGTGGGATGATTACTAAGGACTCTATCACAAGTGAACAAGTCATAGAGGGATGGTGTGGCCTTTGAGGCAAAGAACTGACTTTCGAATGTGAGGACTCTACCCCTGTTGCTGGTCATGTGGCAAAGTACAGGGTCTTTCTAGTACCAGTCAGTCCTAATGACCTTGTATAGAAACAGTGGCCTTGGGGTACCATAGACACAAAGAAGTTCTGAAGTCATGATAAACTTTCACAGTAAGGCTTAATCTAGTAGGATGTATTAAACTCTAATTTTAAGAAAAAATTTAGTAATCTAGGACCAGCAAGATGGCTCAGTGAGTAAGGACATTTGCCATCAAGCTTGATGACCTGAGATCTATCCCAGAACCCACATGGTGGTAAAAGACATAAACTCCCTCAAGTTGTCCTCTGAGCTCTACACACTTGCTATAGCGCACATGTATGTGCCCCTATACAATAAATAAATAAATGTAAAACAATACTTAAAATTTGTAAGCCACTGAATGTGGTGGCATATACCTTTAATCCCAGCACTTGGGAGGCAGAAGCAGATGGATTTCTGTGAGAATGAGAAGCCAGCCTGGTCTATATAGCAAGTTCCAGGCCAGTTAGGGTGACAGGGAGATCCTGTCTCAAAGAAAAACAAAATAAAACAAAAACAAAAGCCCAAACAACCCCCCAAATTTATAAGCCATATTGCTATATATTAGTCATCAAAGATGTATACCCATTTTTTACTATTTTTATAAGCAAGAGATTTTGAAACTAAAATGATTGTGTCTTTTTGTCAGCTAGCCCTACGAGCTGAGTGTTTGGGTCTCCTGCCCTCAAATTCATACGTTGAAATCTACATTCCAAGGGATGGTAGTTGAGGTGAGGCCTTTGGGAGGTGATGGAGCAAGACTCCTCATGAAAGAGATTAGGGCTCTTATCACTTATCAAGAGGCCCTATAGATTCCTCACTTCTGTTGTGAGATCAGGGTAAAAGGAGGCTGTCTCTGAAGCAGAAAATGCCCTCCTGAGGCACGGAATCTGCTACTGTCTTATCTGGACTTCCCAGCACCCAGAATCCTAAAAAACATATTTCTGTGTTTTTTAAGCTTCCCAGCTTATGGTATTTTGTCGTAGAAACCCACACAGTCTAATATAGTCAGCCCATATTATTTAACAAACATGCTGGACATTTGAGCTTCTGGAATATGGGTCTAGTAATTCTTTATTGATTAATTTAAAAGATGGCTTTTTTTGGGTAAGGTATCTTCCAATAGTGACCTCAAGGTGGGTCCACCTTCTAAGGACGACTGTAAAAGCAGTCAAATACAGTTTGTTGTCTAAATAACAAACACTTAATGAGGGCTGCTTAAACATTGGGGAAGTTCCTCCTGTTCCTATTGGTGGACGAGGAAGAGTAGAGAACACTGCAGGAGTATATAATGAAGTTTTAGAAATGTGGCCTTGGATTTAGTGTCAGTGAACAAATTTGGCCACAGTGCAGAGGTCACCGCAGTCAGAGAGGCCAGTCTGAATGAGGACACTTACCTGACAGGAATCCTTCTGACCTCTGGCATCTCTAGCACATATCGTGTCTTTGGTTATAACAGGGTTATACTTGTAATAGCTTTGGCTGTTGCATCATTTCCTACTTATGATGGGAACAGTGACTTCTTGCAGGGTGTCAGAGGCGTTTATCAGATCTGGGTCCGTGGCTCCCCAGCCAGTAACCTGGCATTTGGTTCCCTCTCTAATATAATTTTTGGATCTCAGCTGGAGCAGCTGGACATGCTTATTGAGTTTTGCAGCCATGTGAAGCTGAAAGGTTGAAAAAGGAGTAAATTATCATTCTTCCCCAGTGACTTTCTACTAGACTGCTCATCGGGTGTGTGGTCCCCTTGCCTCAGGAGGGTAGCCTCTGCTCTTGAATATGCTTTGATGGTGGCCTGCAGCTGTGTCTGTGGTTGTTGCTTTTCTGAACATGCTTTCTATTCCCTGTGGAACTAGCTGATGCTCGGGAGAGACCTTATACAGAGCAGGAATTCCACCCAGTCTCGAGCAGACTGGCCTTTGCCCTGTATTGGATGGTTTTGTGGAATGATATGTATAGGTCGTGACTTTGTGGGCTGGGCTGTTTCCTGCTGGATGGGACCCTTGAGTATGGTCTAGACTAAGTTGTAACTTACTTCCGAGTCCTTGAAGTCACTTGGTTGGTTCTGCTGAATAAACAACTGTTGTAGTTCTCAGTTGCTAATGGGGAAAAGCTTTTTGTGTGGATCCTTGGGTCTGCTGGGATAATTCTCTCTTACATGTCAGCATCAGGGTTGATTTTCCTTGCATAAACATATTTCTGATGCATTCGTGAATATTTTTTCTTTCCAAGAGAGTAACATGGGCCTTTATAGAATGCATTACAATCACTTCAAACATGCAGAATGCTAACAAAATGCTTTCACATAGTTAATTAACTGAGTGATGCTATATAAGAATGTTGGAGAGACTAAGCAAGGCTCTGCCACCTACCTTTATCAGCATGATATCTACAGCATGCGGTGTAGAAACTAATGGAAATCTTGAGAATGGTATTAATTTTTCAATCGCAAACATTTGTTTTGTAGGCTCATTCTTTGAGAGAGAATGTGGCCTTTCGCAAACCTAGAAAAGCAAAGAAAATGGAAGTAACACACTGATCCAAATCCACTAGCAGGAAGTGGAGATGGTATAGAGTCACATGCACTCACCACCAAAGGCAGACTCCGACGTAAACTGCTTAGGGCCAGGAATGACTGAGGCACAGTGGGTTCCATTATGAATCAAGGGCTAAATGGCTTGCCTTCAAGCCTGCCTCAGCCCACTTCCCCCACACTACAAAAGAACATCAGAGTTTGTACTGTACTATGAGAAAAGGGGTGTAATCCTAGTTGATTTAGGTCAAGTTTTCATCCAAGTTGTGTTTGTTTATATAAAAATAGAGTAAATTATATTCCTATGTTTTATGGATTCAGATTTATACCAACTAAGCATTAAGGGACTTTAAAAAATTATGGTAAAATATGTTACAAAGTATTGTACTTTAACCATTTTAAAATGTAAATTTGAATGCATTTAGTACATACACGCACACAGACACACAGACACACACACAGACACACACACACACACACTCTCACGTTTCTATCAGTGTGCTTTAGCTCCCAAAATGTTGCATCTTTTCAGTGTCAGACGTTTAAATATCTAAGATAAGGACTTGCTTTTCCACTGGCTTATCTGTTTGTGGAGACTTCATCTGAAGCAACATGGGGACTATTACATAGTAATCACATATGCTCAAAAGTCCCATCCAGTCAGTTAGAAGAACGATCTCAACAAGAAAGAAAAAAAAATCTTCAAAGTAAAAATATGTGTTAATTTGAAATGAAGACGCCTTAAGGCTGGAAGCCACTGAGAATTCCATGGTGGAGATTGATTGGGTATGAACTGGGAAGTTAGGTAAAGAAAGATTTCTTCACCACTTTAGCTGTACAAAGTTCTGGTACCGGTGTTTCTGTAATACCAAATTAAATTGATTTTCTGTATGTTTAATAAAATTACATTTAGAGTCGATGAAAATAGATTTTTTTTTAGATTGGTAACATGATGGAGCCATTTTTATATTGCAAATATATCCTGTTGCAATGTGTTTATGAATGCCATCTCAAATGGCTTTCCTGGAACAAGAAATGTTTTCTATATCTCTACCTATCTATCTATTTATCTATCTATCTATCTATCTATCTATCTATCTATCTATCATCTATCTATCTATCATCTATCTATCATCTATCATCTATCTATCTATCTATCTATCATCTATCTATCATCTACCTATCTCTACCATCTATCATTCTACTATCATCTATCTACCATCTATCTATCATCTACCTATTATCTATCTATCATCTATCTATATCTATCTATCTATCGTTCTACTATCATCTATCTATCTATCTATCTATCTATCATCTATCTATCTATCATCTATCTATCATCTATCATCTATCTATCTATCTATCTATCATCTATCTATCAAAAAAATCACCCCCGATTTGAGCCTTATTTTTTTTTAAAGTATAAAATGGGGATGGGGCTTAGGATATAGCTCAGTGGTAGAGCACTTGCCTACCACTTGTACATTTGTAACCTCCCAGCTATCCTTGGGTACAATCTTGGGTTGTACAAAGCCTTGGGCTCAATCTTCAGCACTGAAAAAAAAAAAAAGAAAAAGAAAAAAGAAAAGAAAGAAAAAGGAAGAAAAAGAAAGAGTTATTAACCCAAGCATGGGGTACAATTCCTATATGTGGGAGACTGAGGCATAATTATTGCATCTTTGAGGTCAATGTGGATTATGAAAGACTTTGTCTCTACTACCTGAAAAAGTGATCAAGGCAGAATACAGTAAGAACACATGTACCCATCCATACAGATCAGTTTTCTTAAAAATTGAAGAGGGTGGCCGGGCGTGGTGGCCCACGCCTGTAGTCCTAGCACTTGGGAGGCAGAAGCAGGCGGATCTCTGTGAGATCAAGGCCAGCCTGATCTACATAGTGAGTTC